CCGCCCCCCCCCCCCCGCGTCCCGGCCAGACCGCTATCGGAACGTCGGGAAAGTACACGGTGGGCGTCCTCCTGGCCCCCAACCTGGAGTCGGTGGACAGGAGGACGGTCGACAACCCCGTGGAGGCTGCCGGGGTGGCCTTCAAGGAGACGGCCGCCCTGTCGTCGAAGACATTCGATTCATTCCTCAGGCTCGCTTCGACGGGGCAGACGGAAGACGTGTGAGTTGTCGTCGGCATCGCCGCTGCCGTTGCCACATGCCGCCTCAGTTTCTGGTAGACGGGTTGCTTCAATCCCTCCAAAACGTTCGGTGAGCGTGTGCCTTTCTTCTCACTTGTCTCTTGTATCTTGCCCTAACCCTAGGGTACTTATGTTGTTGTTGTTGTTGTTGTTGTTGTTGTTGTTGTTGTTGTTGTTGTTGTTGTTGTTGTTGTTGTTGTTATTGTTGTTGTTGTTGTTGTCGGTCGTTCTGCTCTCAGAAGCCGCGGCCCTACATGCCCCGCTCCGAGCACAGCAGCACGGTTAGCAACGTTTCGGTACAAGCGGACTCCACCCTGAATAGAGACTCCCTTGGGGTGCGCCTTTCGTTTTCTTGTTATTCCGGATGCCAAAGCTCCGGCCCCGTCGAGATCGTCAAGGTGGGGGCGCAGGTAGCCAAGTCGGAGGGTCCGTCGGCCCTTCTGCAGTTCGCGGCGGTGATCTCCGTCAACCTGGCTGTGATTAACTCTCTCCCAGTCCCGGGGCTGGATGGTGGCCAGATGGTGTTTGTCCTGGCGGAGATCGTCAGCGGCAAGAAGCTCGACCGGTAAACGTTTTGTCGAGCGGTGCTCACGGGAGGCTTGGGGTAGAGAAAGTACGTCTACTGTTGTTTTGTGTTGGTGCGGGTCTATGTCTGTTGTTGTTGTTGTTGGTGTTATTGTTGTTGGTGTGTCTCTTGATGTCGTGGCTACTGCTGTTGTTGGTGGTGTTGTAGGTGGTGTGGTGTAGTGTTGTCGTTGTTTGTGTTATTGCAGACTTCAAACCCGTTGAACTCATGACGTGGTTCTCGGTACCCACATGCTGGTCCCTGACATGCGTGCGATTTTTTTGCATTGCTTGAACATTATTCCCGGTGTCTGAAACGAAATTTGGGTGAGTGGTGGGACTGAAACTACTCCACCAGCGAGGGCTTTAGATTTTTCTTGTTCATGTTGAAGGGCGCATGTCAACTAGCCAGCGTCACACACGTGTGCCGTGTCTTTGTGTGGTTCCGTGGGACCAAGTATTTCGCAACCCGTGTACGAGCCTTGTGGTAATTATGCTTTTCCGCGTACCCCGAGCCATTGGCAGAGACAGAAGGAGTCAACGCGGGAGCGTAGTGTATGGAAGCATACCTTGACACCCATGTAGGTTGATGAGTTTGGGGCACACCACGCCCCTGTGGGTGCTTGCCCAGCATGGCTGTTGCACGACGCCTAACCCAACATCTTGGCCGACATCCTGCAACGCCGTCGTACACTGCCATTTTTTACCCCCCACCCCCGGCGCCGCAACGCCCCTCCGCCGATGATAGAGACGTGGCCGCTGCAATCAACGGAGTTGCGCTCCTAATCCTCTTCGGCATCAGCCTCTCGACCTTCGCCGGTGACCTGGGCATCGCCACCCTCTTCCAACGAATCTTGGGCGGGGCGGTGCGATGAGATTTGGAGCGCTTGAGCGAGGGACTTGTCCAACGCGTGTTGGGGAAGGCAGCGGGGTTCGGTGATGCTGTCGAGAGTGCGCCATGCCCCGAAGTGTCAAGAGGAGCAACGGTATCGAACGACGACAGCGAAGACCCTTCTACAGGGGGGCCGCCGTGGAATGGCGAAATGGGGATAGGTGGAGACGCCTTGTGTAGCTCACATCGAATGCCGGAAGCATTGGCGTGTGATGTGCTGGGCAGGACGGTGAGATGGTAGCGAAGACACCGGTGGCTGGACCTTGCGAGAGAGACTGGGTGTGGTGCGGCGTGGATGCCTCTAACACAACACCGACAAGCAACACCGACCTGCCTTATTGGAATGTACATAGCTTGACCTATGTTATAGACAAGTGGCGAAGGGCAAGATGCGGATGAAGCCGACGGGCCTGTTTCAGCACATCGATAGCCATGGCCACGTATGCTGGCGTGTAGCGCATTGCGGCGCGGCTTGGCCGTTACTGCGTTGTGGGAAGTGTAGACTCAAGGTGGACTAGGCACACAACTCTCAACCACGAGGATTATCCTCGAATATTTTCAGTAAGTATGCTTGGAGGGATGATCACTGTATGTTTGGCGTGTCCGGTAGCGGAGGCGTGCTCGGCGTGGCGCCCCTCCGACAGGCCTGGTATTTCTAGCGGCTTGTGTGCTTCTTACCCCTTGTGGCGTCACCTATAGAATGAACGGCGGGTTCCGCATTTCATGTTTGTGATTTGTGAGTGTAGGGGGGTAACTGGCGGTTTTCCCAAACGCCAGGCGCCATGTGAGAATCAGGCAGCTAACGGTTTACCCAAGATGTCGGGGAACATGTGGGCACCGGGTTGTAGGTGTGGCATTGGCGCTATGCTCGGTTCCATGGCCGGGCGGTAGACATGCACGACGAGTTTTTGAAGAAGGCTTTGTCCGAAACTAGACGTACACCAAGTTCGGGTTCGGCTCCCTCCCCCCCGCCCAACCGCACATCCGCTTGCATTTTACCAGAATGATGGACCATGTGGAACAGATGCAGCCTTAAGAGAGAAACGGAAGATCGGGCAGTGAACGGTGTTGAATACAGCGTTGTGCAACCTCTAGCGTGACGCACGTACCGTATGCTTCGTGATACAATCGCGACGTCGTTCGGAAACCTCTTGCTTGTATGGCGTTTGTGAAGCAGATCGCTTCGCGAATGTTCACGCGCATTTACGAACGGCGACAACAACCGAACTTCGTATCCATACATGTGAATTGTTTTCGAAAAGAACCCACGAAGATAATCGTTGGATCTTCTGATCCTTCGGCCTCTCTCCAGGCGACTGAAGGCGTTCACAAGTGTGTGTCGTGCTGCGTTTCAGCCACAGGCACAGTTTCGTTCCATCGCTTGGCCGGCCGTACCGAGGAAAATCAGCGTCCATAGCCGTCAGCAAAAAAAGTAGCAAATCGTCGGCTACGCGACTGATGTTATCCCCAACAAAACACTCACGCGGAGCTTTTACAGCTACTCGTTTAGGATGCAACGTCTCCAGTCTAGCTTGTACTTTCTTCCATGAATCGTCCGAAACAAGGCAGGTGGAGCACTTGTACACACGATGAAAGGGACAGAGAAACGATAGACCATTTGATAGCACAAACGCGGCGAAGATTAACGCTAGGCGGTGATGAAACCCTCTAGCTGGACTGAGACGGTGTGGACTTCGCTCGACCCAGGCGGCCGGTAGCCCCCGCGGAGGTGCACGAACGCCGTGGTCTTGTACCACTGACCCACCTTGTACGCGCGTAAAAGAGGGATTCAGAAACACCGGATAGGACAAGTTGTGGAATCGTACATTGGAGAGGAATGGCCGTGCCAATAATCCCGTTCTCATCGAGCTCTTACTACACGTACACGTCGACTCGCGCGTGTGGTTCCGAACGCATCGTGCGAATAGTAACTTTTTATGTCGTTGTCCGAAACTCCGGGGTGGGGAGATGACAATGAATGGCGTAGAGAGAGGTTGGGGTAGAACTTGGGGTGTGTGTTCGAGCTATAGTCTACGGCTTGAGAGTCGTACCTCCGGGGTACCTCCCTTTCCACCCGCGGGGCCGGGCAACGACGGGGGCGGCGGAGGTGGCTCAAACGCGCATGAAATGTCCGCGGTGCTGCCTGGAGGGATGTTGCCTTTCTCCGGTGTGACCTTGAAGCCCTTTTCCCTAGCATCTGCACTCAACTCCATCTACGCGTGTCGGGTGCACAACGATCGATGAAAATATTTGAGCTATTTCTGTGCACGAGGTCCTTGTCGTGCGTGGGGAGATCGTTTGCGTGGGGTACTTACTATGAGCGCGTGCGGTTTGTGTTCGGCTGCAGTGGGCACGTTGTTTTGTGCTGTAAGGCAATATTATCTGCTCGCGAAATGGATAATAATACTGCTTACGGCGGATTGGATCCAACCCCTTAACATGGTCAACTCTTGCAACGCGCAAACATGGCAGTACAGCAGCGCAGGGACACGTATCAGATGCGCCCGAGGTCGTTGATCGAAATTGGTGACAAATACGGAGGACCCGCACGAAAAAAAGTACGAACATAGCCCATGCCACTGCAACAACCGTGAAACAAACCTCGAAAGACCCCGCGCTCGACTTTATAGGGTCATTGATGGCTAGGCACCCAGCAATAAGCCGCATAACCGCCGTTGCCTTGCTCGAGGACTCCTTGACGTTGGCGTGGTCACGTCCGCCCTTCTCTTCCGCTGTTGCGGGTTGGCTGTTGTCACTCTTAGGGAACCGAAGGACGATCGGCGAAGGAGCTGGCGCAGCGCTCTGCGGCGGAAAATACCGGACAATCAGAAAGCGCCACGGAAGCGCACCGCGCGATGGAGGTTGCTAATGACAAAACAATTGTGCTTTAACACTCGTCTCCTTGTGAGGATGAATGTCCAAGTTCTGTTCTCGAAGTCCTGTCGTTGTGAGGCAGATAGCCACCTCGCAAAGAGCAGAATCACAAAGAATAGGCGGGACGGTTAGCGTCGGGAAAACTTCGGGAAGCACGAATTCTGCGGGTGACAACGCCTTCCGGGCTGCCGAAAACGCCCCCGGGCGTACAAACGCACATCAACACGTACGGAACACCTCGCGGGCAGCATGAAACGCGCCAAAGCTGCCGACCCAGGGTGTTTTCCGAAGGCTGTTGCGCATTTACCTGTACCCCAGCCGATGCCGGCAACAACCTTCCATCCTTGGTCGACCCCCGACCGCCGCTGAAAAGACCACTCCGAGGGTCTAGCGCGTCTTCGGTGGCCTCCGGGGTACGGTCGCCGGGGTTTTGTCCCGGTGGCGCAGCCTCAACGTAGACCTGTCGTGGAAGACATCGACCGCGAACACGAAGCAGGTGTCCACCTTCGGGCTGCATGAATGAGAGCACCGAGAGAGAGGAAGAGAGAGAGAGAGAGAGAGAGAGAGAGAGAGAGAGAGAGAGAGAGAGCGAGCGAGAGAGGATAGGTCGGTGTATGGGCCAGCCATCTCCCTTCTTGTCAACAAACACGCGGCGAGCGATAAATTGTTAGAATATTCTACCGCCAAATCTAAGGTGGGAACGTGTGCGTCGATGTTGTTGCGTTGTCGTTGTTATTATTGTTGCAATCATGAGGGTGTCGAACTTGTTTTTTCGTTCGCTCCTCACCTGGTCCCTCGCTTCTATCCTAAATGCTCCCAGAAAGGGCCAGATACGGGAATAGTCCGGGCTGAAGATCGCCTTGACCGTCACGCTTTCACCCGGAGGCACGCCCCCCTCGCATGGTACCAGGGAAAACGCCTGCTCCGTTGGTGGTGACAGAACCCACACGGAATCAAGTTGTATCGTCCCTCGAGATTTCTCAAATACATTATCCGACAATATTATCAGACACACCGCAAGGATGGTGAAACGCATCGTTCGACCAAGCTGTCAGTGACAATACCGCATGCAGGGCCAAATGCTTCTGCTGGGAGTCACCAATCCATAGCATGCGGTGGCTGCCCTCAGGAACAAGATCTTTGGGGTTTTGACTGCAGCTCCTACCCTTGAGCTCTTGAGACAACAGCCACACCTCGAGATGGTTGACGTTCGAAGATGGCCGCGGGCCGAAGGGTGCTGTAGCATAGCGTAGAGGAAACACGCTGTCGTTTAGCAGCTTCACCTCTCTGCAGTAGTCGCCAAGAGCGCGCAGAAAGCCGATCGAGAGAGCAAACAGCGGGCAACGAGGCCGGGGGTGAATGAGCGACGGAGGTCCTTTCTCTGTGCCATGACTCTTAGGAAATACTGAGAACAAGAGATACTGAATCCGTACACGCAGTAGGCCCGATCCGTGGTCACTCACCGCTCTGTTGTGTCCCCTTCCAGCACATGACCCATATCTAGGCGACCATTGGCAGGGGTCATTCTTAGCACTGGTTTCACCCCTTCTCCTCTCACGCAGACACGAATGCTTTTGCCCAGCGACGGGCTGGAAAAGCGTGCAGGAGCAGGGAGCGCCCGGGTCGGCGGTCAGGGGCTCAGCGAAGAGGGGCTATCTCGTTCCGACCAAGGCTGGCCTCTGAAGGAAACTCGTCCCGGTTTCACGATTCTCCTCCCTCTCTCTCTCTCTTCCAAGCAATGTGCCCCATTCTTCCGAACCTCTGTCTTTCATGCAAACAACCCCCCATTACGTGTCTCTGTAGTCGACTGTGGTGAACCCACTGACCTCCAAAGCACGCGATTTCTGAAACACGGTCAATCTTGCAGCTCAGACACGGCCATTTCGGCCCTAATGGCGGTTCAGCAAGTCATGGTTCATGCAGCACTGCAAAAGGTCAGTTGCGGAACACACTATAATACAGCAGAATCAGGCGTGAAATCGACTTGTTGAAGCAATATTTGTCACTCAGTCAGAACTATCCCATTTCCATTGCGAGAGTTTGAGCCACGAACTTGCCATCCACATGAGATGAGTCATGTCTCTCCGTGCCTGTTTCAAACGAAAATACTTGTCTTTGCTGTACCTCGTGAGGACGAGGGTCTCCGAAACGATGCCAGCCCTCTCCGGTCTGAACTGCAGCACACACCGATGACTTCCGCCTCGAGGTGGTACCGTGCGGAAAGCGTTCAACACCTTCCATGCACAAAGACCAAAACCCGTGGTTTGGTTATGCACTCTGCTGCGTCAAGCTTGACAGAAAGACTTGCCAAGATCAATCTACTACTTTACACGGGGGGGAGTGTACCAAAATATTTTCCTAAGTTGCGCTTCTACTACTTTACTGGTGCAGGCATGCAACTTACATCATGATTCGTGTTTGAAAATGGTGTTCTCTTCGGAAGAAAATTAAATATCGAGGCTCTATCCGGCCAGACTTGTGCGGAGCCCCATCGTAAGCGGAGAGGAGTACGGGGTTCTGCCGGTCGAGCCTCTAAGGTGAAAGACGAGGCGAACAAGTCTCGAGTCGAGCACCAGTTGTGTATGTCAAAGCTCACATTGTCTACTGTAGCAGGGGCTATGCCAATGTCCCCTTTTCGTACCACTAGTGCCTGTTCGGGCAAGGTGAGATTCTCAAGAACATTTCTTTTTTCTCCCATCATTGGACTCTGTCGTCTGCCCCTCTGGCCCCTATCCTCCACTTCTACTAGCTAGACGACCCAACCGGGGTCACATAGGAGGGGGGGGCTGGACCCCCTCCTGCGGTTCCTGCCTGAGGTATTTTTATCGCGAGAAGGGTACAGCAATCCCTTCCCTGGCGACTTTCGAAGTCGATTATGGTTTACTAACATTGTCAACAGGTGGAGCGCTTTTCTTTATGTTTATTTTTTATTTTTTTGGCACTTCGTAGGATTCACCAGCGCGGCAAGGCGCTGTTCATGTTCGTACGGCTGGGTCCCCGAGAATCAGGTGGTCTTTGTGCGTTGGCCGCGATTCCTCATTCAATTTCGACATTCACGACCAGTGATTACGACAGCAAACAGTTTTCTTGTGCACAGCAACAGTCGTGGCGACTGGTCTAACCTCAAAAGGGCCGACAGAGTTGAGGCCGCCCCCCTCCAGGGGTGCATCGTCGTTTCCGGCGTTCCTCACGCGTAAAATTGCCTGCTTGGAATTTTGGCAGCACGGGGAGAGGATCAACCGTTGTTTTGGGGCTGATCCGACGAGAGCGAGAGCGAGAGAAAGGTCGATGGTGGTCTTCCGTTTCACTCCGGGCAGGTGTTTTAGTGGACAAAGATGGAAAGCACAAGGTTTCGGCATCCCTCAAAAAGTGCTCATAGGGGGAGCACCCGAGAAACTGCGGCACACGTCAACAACAACGCCTTTTCGCTGACCATACCCATTTTTTTTGCAGAATTCCGATAGTTGGAGGGGTAGGTATCTCTTTCCGCGAGAGTACCAACTACGACCTGAGTTCACCCTTGCTTTCAAGTAGTCGGATGCAAACAAACGAAGCCTCCCCAGAGCAACCGCTATTGCGGAGAAGACGGAAGCGGCGAATCGATACGCATTCGTGGATGACACGGGGCGAGGATCACACCTCTGCCTTCGTTCCGACGGCGAGTTGCCCGAAGTCCACTCGGGACTGGTCCACCGACAACGTTCGTTTCACCGTAACTGTGGTGACCTGAAATGTAGAGCACGGGGGGGGAAATATAAACGATTTGAGACCACTTCGTCCCATCGCGTGAGTCCAAGGATACTGATTGTTCCAAATTCCGCATATATGTGGATGCATACGAGGTCTGTTGTCGTCTGCCGGTGTCTACTCCATCTCGTCGACAAATGGATACACTGACGTATGCCTGTGCGGCAGGCATGACTTCATGTTCAATCCGTCACGATGAAACCAATCAATTTTATAGTAGTTTCTCTTAATATTGTTCTAGGCGCGCGACCCATGCTCCCTCGACTCTTCGAAGCGAATGCAATCGGCGACGACACTTTGCCGACCCTCTGTCACTAGGATAATTTTATCGCAGTCTTTCACCTCCAATGCTAGCGGTGGAAGATAAGCTTTCCCTGTGTCCCCTGTGGCACCGCCAGCGCTGTGGCCTCTCGTTCTCTTCAGGAAACAAGGCACCCGCCAACGTCCGTGCCGGCTCCACGGCTCCTCCTCTTGTCCTCCCTCGTGCCCCCCCTCATCGTTCCTGCTTCCGCCTTCGTCCACAGCTCCGGCGTAAGGAGGGACCTCGTGGGCGGTATTCACAACATCGGCGACTGCCGCGACGGCGTCATTGGCGTTGTCCTCTCCGTCCAACTTCTGTTCCAGCTCTTCATCGTTGTTTGCTGTCGGGGCAGAAGAGCCTATTGCTTTCTGCGTTGCCGCTTGCGCAGCTGGGGACTTGCTGTCTGGTCCTTTCGTTTTGGCATCTTTGCCGCCGGGCCCTTGCTTCTGCGCCCCGGCGTCAATTTGCTGTTCTTCTTCTTGCTTCTTTTCCTCGATAGTTGTGCCTTCCTTTTTTTCAGCTGCATCTAAGGCCTCCGCATAGGGGAGAACACGTGGCGGGCAGAAGGATACCTCTATTCGAGCCCCCTCCTTCGGGAAGAGACGCATGACGCTCGGGCAGATCTTGAGGAAGGAGATCTCCGGCTCTGGGACGCAGAACTCCAGATTCTGCAAACAACGCAGGAAATATCGGTTCGATGCTGACATGTCGTTGCCGCCCTTCTCATACTTCTTTTTAGCTTATCGTTATCGGGTTCGTGTTCGCTGTGTACCCTGTTCACTCTGCCCCCCCTACGCGTATTCGGCCCGCTTTCCGCTATTGTGCCTTCGCTTGGGTGTGGACGTAGTCGGACCTGCAGTCCCGCTGAATGAACTCGCACGTACTCGGGCTGTTGGCCAAGCACCAGTTGCATCGTCTCTTGAGACTTCTGTCGATGCGGCTGTAAATTTTCGCCCTCTTGGGGACCATAAACGGATATACGGTAGCCCAAATGTTGGAGCTTCAGATCGCCAACAGATGGGGAGTCGAGGACAATAATGTGTTGGAGAATCTGAGTAAGGAGGTTTGCAGATTGAGTAGAACATCCATAGACTGCATGACAATCCTGCATGTCGGCAGGTGTGAATTACCGGTAAATATCGCACCTGCTCCACCGCAGATACGTTGTTGACGAAGATGCTGGCAGTCACGGTATCTCCCGAGCATGCCGGCGCCAGGCTGAGGACCGTGTGGCTCAGCTTAATCACCGGGTCCACGCCAAAACCGAGGCACCTGCTTGGAAAGAAGAATCATTTCCTGTCATCAACACCATTGATTGCCTGTATCTCGTCTTCAGCTCGTTACATGCATTCGTTCATTTCCGCTCACCCTTGGGGAGGTCGACACTGACTAGCCCCGGGAAGGCAAAGCGCGCAATGACATTGATTCGTGGTAGTACGCAATTTCACCACAAACGCCCTGTGCCGGAGCTTGTTCTTTGGTGTATTGCGTTTCTGTCCCCTAGAAGGTCTAATCGATAGTGTCTTCATGGATGATCACTCCATCTACCAGTCTTCACTGCAGCCAAATAATTGTTTTCGGCAGCGATTTTAGGACACGGATTGCCGGCCTATTTACCCCTGGCATCACCTCGAAGATCCGGTTAGATCTCAGGTACACTCGAATAGGTTTTGACTACCGTGGCGGAAGCTAGCGTTCTCATCCCTCGTGAAGAAGTTCCCACTCCCATGTTATTGAGTTGTCCAATAGGGATCAGTCGAGACGCAGCCTAATGATAGCAATCCATTCATGGTCACAAGCTCGGAAAGTTGTGGGGGGATTGCACTAGTGAGGCCGAATGTATTACTTTCGAAGACCGGATGGTAAGCACCATGGAAATCTAATGTTACGACTACGCCCTGTCGTGCGTTCCTCATTGGAGGGACTTGCCTAACGGACGTGGATTGGCCCAGCGACGTCCTAAGCGACACGGTGGAATCGTGCGAGACCGACGACAGGGGGCTGAATGTCGCCTCAATCCAGCGTTCCTCTCCCGGTAGAAGCACACCGAAGCCGTCAGCGGGCTGAAGGTCCACCTTGGTTTGTTGAACCCACGCGCTTCCGACGTTTAGAACGATTCTTAAAGACCGGCAGAGTACTGGAACGTGCGACGAAACGACAACAGCAACGTCCGCAACACCTACACAGTAAATAAGCGAACAACGAGAACCAGACAACAGCCTTGTTCAAAGACACCTCGAACTCTTTCGCACATCCCGCGAGCTCGGCCAGAGTACCGACAAATTTCGATTTACCCTTGGCGAAAACACACCTACACACCTACACACCCACACATTGAGAAATCCGGCGGAACTTTTATTGATTGGTTTCAATCATCCTTCGTGATGGCGTACTACCGTCCACGACTGACTTTGGTTTACCCTGTGGCTGAACAAACTCCTTGCTTTCTTTGATTACCTCGGCGGGGTTGCCAATAAAACCGAACTTTGCCGCAAGAAGGCTGGTGTTCCTCAGCGAAACTCTCCTTGTAACGCTCTGCCCCACGAAGCACTGCCCGAAGTTCACCACAGCCTCACTCCCACCACCCCCGCCCTCTCCCTCTCCGCGCTCTCCGTCTCCGCAACCCACTTCCACCTTGGAACCCGTCAGCCTAGCCTGCAGCACAGCCCTGGCCGGTAGCGCCTGTCCGGGTACGTCAAATCTCAAGGGGATGGCGATAATACCGCCGGCGTCAGCCGTCTTAGCACACGAGTCCCAGCTTCCTTCCGTGGAAGATTCCGCATCGCGGTCGGTGACTACGCCCGGCTTTCGTGACCCTCGATGCCCCTGCTGCTGCAGCAGTTGCTGCTTGCTACCAGGAGCGACAGTGGAATTGCGTTCGAGGCTCAGAGCCTTGTCGCTGCTGCTGTTCTCAGAGTGCGGTGTTGCGAGGATGCCCCACCCGTCTCGTACGCACCGTGCGAGGCTTTCTGGGTCCGGGCGGAAGCGGAGGCCGAACTCGAAGAACGACCCCGGTTGAACGAAGCCCATGTCTGGGCTGAAGCTGGTGCAGCCGCGCAAGGACGGGGGCACCCGAGCAACAGCTTTCATTGCTATCTTCCCCCTGTTGCAGATTCGAATCTTGTTGTCGTCGTCGGTCGGTAGGTCCGGCCGTACAACAAGGGATGGCAGCGGAGAGTGGTCGTGGGTTGAGGGAGTGTCGGGCATGTCGTAATACACGGCTATGTGGGACAACCTTCTCGACCTTGACATGGGGGCTCCGCGTCGTGACCCCAGGGGGCAGGTCGTTACACACAACACGCTGAAATATCCTGGGTGAATTCGATGCGAAAGCCAGGCTTCCTAGCTGAAACGTAGCTCAACACAACACGCCAGCCCGAGCGCAGACGAGCAAACACGGTTTTGTCTGAACGCTATCTTTGGCTTCGCCCAACCGCGAACGGCACGTACGTTGTACCGTGACGCTCTCGCACTGGCACATGCGCGTTTTTCTTTGGTTCAAGTACAGTGACAACCTTCTTCAAGTATATCTTTTCGAAGACGCAACAGCGGAGGTCGGTGCACGCCTCTGCCGGGAAAACAGCGACCGGTGCGCTCGAAGCCTTCACGACTAGGCGGAACACCTCCTCGCTCCCTTCAAACCTGATAGTCTGACGGTGATTTCAACAACGGACAACAACGGAAATGCACGAGAGTTGATGGGCAATCTATGGTTGTGTGTCTGTCAAGGGCACCGTTGTTGTGAGGCTGAACTTTAAACGTCGCAGAACTTTTCTGAAAAGTCAAAGCAACGGCTGAAACGTTGCTTTGCAAGTTCGGCTAGCGGCTGCAGAGTGTGCCTCCCGTCCGCTGTACCTACACGCCGCCTGGCTCTTGGTTGTCTGCAGATGTCTGCCCAACGTCTTGCTGGAAGTTCGGCCCCCAATAAATCTCTCCTTCGCTCACTTGCACATGACTGGAGCACTTTGCTTCAACCGGTTGATGTATGACATGATAATTGCACATGAATAAGGCGTCGTCCACGGATGCGTACGACCTCTAGAGGGAAGCCTTACACCAAGCCTTTCCATGATATTATCTCATCAATGTTTGTTTTTCATTTACCGTCCAAACCATCCTTCACGTCTACCAGAAGAAGGGAAGCCGCGTATTTGAACTTGGCTGGTTCAGCAAAACCACCTACCTTCGCCACCTGGAAGTCTCCGACAGTGAGCGGCGCAAAGACGATCGCGATCTCGGCCGACCCATACCCCACCAGCTCCCCAGTCTCTGCCACTACCTCTATCGCTCCTCGTCCCTCCGGATATTTCATCCCCGCATCCCCGACAGCAGACGCCTTCGCGAGCAATGCCGCCTCTCTTGATTTTTCATCGGATCGGGGATCGACTACTGGGGCGCCTGCTGCCCGCACATCAGGAGTCGGTTCACAGTCACCGCTCGTGGCATCAATCCGTTCTCCGTTGTGTTGGACGGGTGGCACGCCGCACAGGTGCCCGACGGCCGCAGAAGTCAACGCCTCCGTGGAAGAACCTTCTGTTTTCACCGTGAAGCGGGAGTTCAGTACGCCTTCGTTGGAAATCCCCACGCGCGCGGTCTGTTTAGGGTCGACGTAGCAAGTACAGCAGCAACGGTAAAGGGGAGGGGCAATGGGAACTCATGTTTCGCCCAACTCGACGAGGCGATGTGGGGCCAATGCCGGGTCACGCAGTTCGAGCTGAGCTATTTCCGAAAGCTACAACGTGGCGACAGTAAACTCGAGAGAGAAAGGGATGTAGGAGGCAGCATAACGCCTAAATATCCAGCAGTCAGCGGCACAACGGCCAGAGGAACGCCTCACGAGCAGTTTTCAGTTCTTTAGGCCACTCTCCCACCAACGATGTGGCCGACATGATCACCCGTACCTCCTTCTCCCCTACAACCGTGCCTTGGAACACGATAAGGGTAGTGGACAGCTTCGGCTTAACTCTCCTGGCCGTGCACTCCACCGGAATGGAGAGGGGCCCTGTCTGGGTCCGAAGGGGCAGTTCCGTGAATATGTCTTCTTCCACCTGCGTGTTTCGAGGGCATCGTGTACGTGAATGGTACTTTGGTGGTAGCGACCCAGCCCTACCGGCTTGGAAACATATTCAACCCGCTGTTGGCGACGATATACCGAGATGTGTTCTAAATTTGTGATGCCCAGGAGATGTTTTTCCTTTTTTTTCGTTTCTTCGACATCAACGTTTAGCAAGCCTTCGGTATAGCTTCTCGTGCGCGGGAAGCCGATAACAATTTGAGTCTTCCAGACAAAGTTAAAGCTTGCGTTCTTCGTGGTCCTGATGGATATCCGCACCATGTAGTAGTCACTTCCCAATAAACCATGGCGCCTCCGAGCGATCTACATCGCTCCGATACACGGGCATCTCCCCATCTCACGTACCTCTACTGTTGCCGCCATGCGATTTTCCTTCGAAAGGCGAGGCCCCGCCGAGCAACCGAGGGCTCCGTTTCACCGTTTCACCAATGGGGAGACATTGCGGAACCAAAGCTAGTCAAAACACCTGGCTCAGTCTGTCTGCACCTCGCTGCCGGAAGGGCTCCAGCCTGGACCAGACACAGCACCCAAGTGGCCGTACTGTGTTTGGGGCAATAATTCCTGTATGAAAAGGCAATCCTAGTGGCAAGGGACCAATACCTTCGGCGTGAAGGCAATGTCGACTGCGCACGTCATTCCGGCCGACAATCGCCCTGGCTTCGCGTACGTCACCTGCACATGCAGAATTGTCACCAACGATCGCGTCGCCGGGGATCGTTGGGAGGGCGGGGGCTAGTACAACAGGATATGTCGCTGGCTACTCGATGCCTCTTCTACAACCTCGGACATTGCGTGTAACACCAGCACATGCTTTGCATAGAGAAACACCATACAATGCCACAGATGAATGGTTGTCCACGTGTTTCTATAATTCTCTGCCTGTAGTGAAGGACACCGAGCTTGCCACACTACAACTCAACTTCCCTTCTGATATATCAGTAGCGCCGAGGGAATGTATCAGAGAAGATAAGACTGATCAAGGCCCGACTGGACCGGCGGATGTCGGGTGGAATCCCCGGAGCTTTCCACGAACTTGTCTCGATGAAAAAGTGAATCGTGAATTTGGGAAATAGTCGCCAGTTGCTCCACAATCAGCAAGGGCGTTTTGCAGCCCAAGCTCCGAAGCTTCGATGGAAAGCTGAATAATCAGATGGCAACTGATAACTACCTCGGAACCAGGGTGTCTAGGTTCGTCTAGAACCAATCACTTTCAAGCTTGTTCGGCTACGTTAGAGTACACGGGCGCCGATTCCTACAGACAAAGAATAGATAGAACACCTCAAAACATGATAAAACGTGGGTAGACTCAGCTGAACCTTGGTTGACTTGCTTACCTCGAAGAATCTGTTGACCTCGTCCGACATCCCCAGCACTTTGAGGGTGTTGAACGTCAGACTCACGTTGGTCAGCACGATTCGCCTTTTGTGCACCTTCTCACGGCCGATTACGAAGGCCCACGATTGGATGATGCAAAACGATAACGAAATTGGGAGGGCTGATGGTCGGTGGTTGATGCCAGACTCAGGGTCACTATCTGCGTCATTGAAGGCGTCCTTAGGGAGTTGCCTTCGACAATTGCCATAACGTACTTTCATGTCAACGCCAGGGCAACTTCGGGTTGGTGTCTCCGCTTTCGGCATCAGCAGGATCCTTTACGTCGACTACACTAGTAATTCCTCGGGCTACGAGCGATTGTTGTTGGACATCACCGGGCATCGACTACCATTCATATGAACGCCGCCGCCAGCCATGCCCCGGACGCCATCAGCAGCCTCTCTCTGATCCTGACAGGCGACATGGGGTACAGAGCACGTATGTGTCCCCCTCAAGTGTACCGATTTAAGAACGGTGTGCCCCTCCCTCAAGTGTACCGGTTTAAGAACGCCCCCTCACAGGCGTCGGCACTGTCCGTGTGTTCCCAGAGCCTCCCGTCCCGACGAGCAAGATGTTCAAGGATCTACCTGTTACTACAGCAGAAAGTTGACCATCGTGTCTCCCACGTACCCCCCTTAGTGCGGCTTACCTTTCCCACCACGAAGTCTTTGAAGATGACTTGGTCTGGCTTGGCCACGAACGAGGGTCTGTCTTTGAAGGTTCTCCCGGCCGCTACCTGGTGAAAATGCAACAGCGGTGTGTCCTGTTACAACCTGAGGCGAGGCAGGCCAAGGTTCTCGAAGCGCACGGCCGAAAGCGGGTGCCGTCAGGATTGAGTTGTCAACGTTTTTTTACTTCTTTTTCAGTTTCTACCTGTCATTGGTTCCTCTCCAAATTTTTCACCAGAACCCCGTGGGACATCGAAAAAGATATCATGTATCATCCTATCTTCCTCTCCCCCCTGTCCTCTCCCTCCCAGTCTCCCGAACCTGAGGCTCTCCAGCGTCCATTCTATCCCTTTGCTGCGCCCTGGCCTTCTGCAGCGACCGCGCTTCAAGCACACTTAGGTTTCGCCCCGCTCCTCTGCCCCTGCCACTACCGCTAGCTGTAGCATCCCTCCCTTTGCTACCGTGCACGTCATCGGTCTCTCCGACCTCTTCCCCTTCCACGACGAAAGGAATACCAGTTCCCGGTAGCCTCTTTCTGTCTGCTGGAGGAACGAGATCTTCCAGTAGCTGCTGCTGCTGCTGTTGCTGCTTCTGCTGAGGTTGGTGCTGGGGTTGGTTACTTCCCGTTGTCGTATTCGAGGGCGCTCTCCTTCCGCCGACGTCCTGGTCCGAGGATTCATTTCCTGTTGCCCTACCGACGTCAGTCGGATCCCGCGGTATTAACCTCGCAAATTCTCCGGGCCCTACCCCTGGAATCCGCAGTGACACCCAAGCGCACGAGCATTGGCTCAAGAGCGAGAGGTGTGGACACGGCAGTACTGCGCCGGGGTATCATATCTCACCTTAGAATATACTTGCGTCACGCGGGTGGGGTCAAAGGTCGTCAGTCTTCAAACCACATGCCGTTTTTTCATTCCATCAAGGTACGCAAGACACTCAGACACAAACTTATACTACACCCTGTTCCAGGCCAACCGGCCTGTACCGCGTTCATATATCTTCAACTTGTTCTGGAAGTCATTAGAATGTCCAATAGGTCGTGCAGGGTGATGGCGATACAACCAACGATCGCCCCGAAAAAAACTCTGAGTAGTGAATCCAGGATCGATGCCCCGGCAAAGAGGGACGGGATGAACAGCAACAATCGCATGATGAAAAAAAAGAAACTCTGCTTGCCTGCATGTTGCGGCTTTGACGCTACAAGATCCACCACTGCCGCCGCCATTGCTGGAGTCTTCCGGGGATGGTAGCCCAACCCGAACGCTGCGTCCTTTATAGTTGTCACCTATTTCAAGTGCAAGAAGAATACGTCTATTCATTGCTCCGAATCACCAGCGTAAACGTGCGGTGCGCATAAGCCTTTTCGTTTAGGAGCCAGAAGCACGCACGTGCACGTGTTTCCCGCCCGGCCAACGTGTAACATATCTCGATATCTCACAGCGCTGTGTTGACATGCATGCCCTACCCCCTTACAGTTTGAAAACCAATATGCGGAAGAGTTTTTACCTCAAGGGATGGTTTACCCTATGCAACGCGAGGTGCTCGCCTTCCTACATTGACCGTTCGATGGAAACCGTCCGTTTGCCCACAATAACTTCGCCGTAGAGAGGACATCAGTTTCTCCGGGAGAGGCTATCGCAATTTGTTTTTGCACCAAGCGTGGGTGTTGTTTTTCTCCTGTTCGAGGTCATTTTTCCGTCGCTTCGTTGCGGTACCTGGCTGGCCTCAACGCGGAAGCTTCTTCCTGATGGGTCCAATATGTCCATGCCGTCGATCGTTCTCGCTCGAAGGTACTCGCGGTTCCGAGCGTCCACGACGTGCCTGTATTGCGCCAGGCACGTTGCAGACAAAGTGAAAATGAAGCGGGGGAGAACCAGCGATTGTACCAAGCACTCCCAACGACGGCCTTACTCGGGGGATAGATGTTGACCGTCTGAGGTCAAAACACCATGTACTATTTATGGCTCCGGAAGAACGTTCGGGCCAAAGTGATCAAGCTAGAGCTGCAGGATCCTTGCTTCATATACCCCGTGGGCTTAAGGTGGATGGTCGCGACATAATAGCCAAACAATTTGATTGAACGATAGCAAACCAAGGGAATGCCTGCGACCAGGTTGAATACAGGACATCGTCGTAGGGTACCATAAACACGGGGTGTTTTATGCTCACCTCCCAAGCTCATCCCTCATTCTCTGCTCCTGATCCCTATCCGATCTAACTTTGGCATCGTGCTTGATCCGCAGGGCCTCCTCTTTCTTGAGCCGGTCTTCCAGTTCCTGGGCGACAAGGGATGTCAACGCTATCAGCGACATACAAGCACATGTGGATCGAAAAACAAGGCCCACATTTAGAGGTGATCCTAGCTCTCACGCGCCAAGCGTTCGCGCCTCCGCATTGATTACCATCTGCGCGTCCCTTCTACATAACATACACGATTCACCTCCTTTCTCAGTAGGATTTTTTTGTCCCGCCTCTTTTCCTCGCGCACCGCCCGAGCGTCCACCGCTCGTTGTTTGAACACCTGAGACACAATAAGTAGTAGATAAGAGGAAAGGCGGGGTGGGTCAAGGACGAGCTATGACTTCTTTCCTTCCCAGAATTGTTCCGATCTTTATGGCCGATGCGCCATTGAGGGTGCCTCAGGCAGTATCTTGTTGTTCACTTAAAGACATACTTATAGTATATGGTTAGGCGAACGGCACAAAGTTCGTCAGTTTCGGTGCTACATGGTTACATCGCTCGTCGCTGGAAACCGACACCGTACATCATCTCGTTTATTCCGGCCGAACTACTCGCCAAGCAGGAACACATTTCACGTTGACTAGGCCACATTCTACACGGAGATATCGGACTCTCCAAACAAAGAAACAGTGTGGCAGGTGTTACGACTGTCTCATGCCAGCGGCGGCGTGTGGAACGCTGCCGGAACTACGGCGTGAACCGAAGGTACAGACTGTCATAGTCGTCTTGCTACGTTTTCTGGTGCTCTTGGTACTGTTGTCCCCATTTGTCGTTATCGTTGTCGCAATGGCTGTTTGTGGCATCGGTGGCGCTGAAGATGGAGTTGTCAAATATCGTACTACCGTGGCCTTATTATGATCAGACCCACGTATATGAAGGCAACGTTTGACCATACTGCGCTGTGACTGTACTCGAGGCGCCAGTACGACATGGAGCGACGCGAAGGTTGGATCTCACCTTGTAAGGGTTGAGGCCTTTGGCGGCTAAAATTTCCTTCTCCGCCTCATGCGCCGCCTCCTCCCGCAGCTTCTCCGCGGCATTTCTCTCATTTGCACCGCGTATCAAAGCCGCCGCTGCCTCAGTGTCTGCCTTCAGCTGAAGCACGCACTCCACCCTGTTGGGACGTTCAACATCGCTTCGGAGATCGTTGAAACTATTAGTAAAACCTCTACCCTACACCGATTGATGAGGTCCACGAGCAAGATTTCAAGCTCCCTGTTTTTGAGTGGTTCCGGCGCAAGCTTATGCCGGGTGCTGCATCTGGAAGTTCGTCATGTAGTAGGATTCCCGGCAAGCGCCTGGGACAGCGTGCAGTTCCTGCACGACCCCCCTCCGAACTCATATCCTTGTCGTCCACCTCATTGCAGAGGATGAGACGAGACAAGCAGTGGATGTACCGTGCGGTCGGCATTGGCCGTCGTTTCCTCACCTTTGCGCGTGAGCTTCGTCCTTCATTCGCACAACCTCTTTCAGAGCTGGCTCGGCATCTCTCACCAGCAAGTTTGACCTCTCGGCTGCTGCCCTTCTTGCCGCTTTTGCTGCTTGGAGCTGTTTCGAGGCGGTTTCCGCCCGTCCGCGGTTCGCATTGATAATGTGGAACAACAGCAAATGGCACAGAACGTATCTGAACCCGGTAGGACATTTGGAGCATGCGATTTGGCGGGACTTGCGTGCCGTCGGCTACCCTGGTTCGTCCCAGTCAAGGCGATTCGGAGTTGATCGTACAATCGCACATCACACTGGGTCCACCTATGAGCACATTCTGTATTGTGGGGGTATCAATCGATCCGTTCCGGGTGGACATACCGCGAGGTGGAGCCCACACCAACAAACGCATATTGCAGAGAAAGATCCGTTCGCACCCCAAACAGCCGACGAAACAGCTCTTGTTGGTGAGCTTCCGGCGCAACCGGTCCGTACCTGAGCTTGTGCCTTTTTATGCAGCTGTTGGCGCGCTTCTCCTCTCTGAACAGCCCTGGCCCGGTGGTGCTCCTCCATCTTCCTGGCCACATCTGCCTCAATGGCAACCCTTTTGGCTACCTCTGATTCCTGCAGCGCTTCTTGCGCGGCCTTCTCGTCAGCTAGCGTCTCGAGGATCTTCTCCGTCCGAGGACCCCCGAGTTGTAGACATTGATACCGGGCACGGGAGGAGGTCAAGCAGTTGTCAGATCGGCCGAGCATCGATCGGCGGGTTGCTTTGTCCGCAAAACGAATGTTTGTGAAAGTATTCCTGTCCCGCCTAGATGGGCTAATACTCAGGGCTATGAATTGCACAACAGCATATCCGTGACAACACCTCGTGGAGGCACCGTATGTAGCCCGGGGCTTAGATCATCCTCTGTGCTGGGTGCCCTTGCCCTTTTCGGAGAAACATCGATACCTTGGCCAGGATGTTTCGTGCATTGGTCAGGGTGCGTGGGGCTGGGGTTCATTCAAGTTCGTAGCTGCGCGAAGCCTGTGCCGATCTAATGCGCAAGAAGTTGCCCAGCACTCGAACAACCATCGCATTCGCACAATACGGTCTTAGCAGAGCTCCGATACATTCGAGAATATTTCAACCGGGCACACGGTACGGCCTGTTCTACCTCGGCGTTGGCGTGGTGATCCCTTTCGGCCCGATCAGCCTCACGCTTGGCTTGAAGCTGTATGTGACGCTCGCGATCTGCCGCCGCCCGCTGAGAGGTCGCTGCTTCTCGTGCTATCTGAAAAAACACTCCGACGTGCAAGCACCAGTTAGGGCTGCACACAACATGGCGCAAGTAGCTGGATAGTGTATCGTGCGCATTCACCTCTTCAATGCTTCAGCCCTCTGATACAATGGTAAGGAACCGCGAGCCGTGTTCACCTTTGCTTGGGTCGTGAGCTTGGCCAAATCCTTCTGCTTCTCCGGTGCTTGCGCGGTCCGGCTCAAGGGCTGCCTGTCCATCCATGCCTCAAGATCTGCCAGAGCAGCATCGGCAGCCTGAGGGGTCCGCAAAAAAAAATAGGCACACCCACACGGGGAAGACGATGGCACAAGAAGTAAACGAGGCAGTTGCCGACGTACTTTCCCGAAAGGTGTCGATGCTTCATGATCTGACGACCAGCTCTGAATCCTTCTTCAGGATACCCATGACGTCGCACGTTTGATGCGTCCGAGACCAGTCGTTCGTGTGCCTGACGGCCTCTGGCATCAGTTTTCTGTTAGTCTTGCGGCTTTGACCTTACGAGGAAAACCATCAGGACTCTATCTGTCCCTCCGTCCAACATCACCTCGCTTTTCGCCTCGAGCTCCGTTGCCCTGTCCTCCTCGGAGTTCTGCTTTGCTTCCGCCGATAAGGCTACTTTTCGCAGCAAGTCTCGCTGCGCTGCGGCCCTTGATAACTCCGTTTCGAGAACGCGAATCTTGAAATCCGCATTCCAACAGGTCACGCAAAGACGCGTCGGGTAAAACGGAAAGGTGCGACAGGTAGGAGGGGGGCAATATCATGGTTGAGACAACACCTCCTCTGTTTTAGACATGAGAAATGCGAAAAATGGTTGAGATGAACCATCCCTGTGAAGCTTGAAATCTATCAAAGTCCTTGTGCGACGCCGCAAGTTTTTTCTACTGCCTTACCGAGAACGTGCACGCGCGTAAGAGAGATGGAGAGAGATAAAGAGATATATTAATATAGATAGATAGATAGATAGATAGATAGATAGATAGAGAGAGAGAGACAGACAGACAGACAGACAGACAGAGGACAGTTTGATGTTTGATGCGTGCTTAGAAGTACTGTACAATAGTGCAACTTATTCCTAAATTCTTGTGTCAACGTATGTGTGTTTCTTGTGTTTATTCCGATCCCTTCCGGATTCTCAAGAGCAAGGAAAATACTTTTACGTATTCACCCTTGGTTACACAACGGTGGCTAGTGCTTCAGCTGCTAAATTTCAAACTTTTGACGTTTGGGACGTGAGCAAGAGAGTCGGCGCAGTCGCACGCACTTGCTAAGGAGGACCCGATTCGCAGGGTATCCGTCGATTGACTTTTACCTGAATCGGAACACCTTCGCATATGGCGTCAGCGGCAGGACTTTTACCTGAATCGGTACACCTTCGCACACTGCGATATTTGTCACAATATATCCGAACAACGTGGAAGACGAAACTTTCGTGTGTACGCAACAACTTCGATTGCACGGTCGGCGAGGGAGTGACTTTATCCTTCTCGCGATGAAATCGAGGCAATCGCCGCACAAGGAACGCGAAGAGAATAGGAAAATCCTGCGTGGCCTTCCTCCTGTGTGACCCCGACAGATGGGCCCAGACAAACTAAACGGTAGGTGCACCACACATTATGGGTCCGCACACACATAAAAACACAAACCATATTGTGTCAATAAAAACCGTAGACTATTAAGACTGACGTCTTTTCAGTTGTCAGCCGGTTTGCGCAGTCGATCCAAGTATTAAATAACTTCACACACACTGTGGATCCTACAGTAGACTACTATGTAATGCTGTAATGCACTGCTTGTTGCCTGCCTTCGAATATGGCCGCGAGAAGGGTTCAGTAGCACCTTGCGTCTTTTGCTTTTATGTACTCGCGACTCGCGACTTACAATGCCACGCTTACATGCTTACGTGAGTTTTCACTCCGAGGAGAACCGATCCACGACCTAAATTGCTTGTTTCATCGGAGTAGTCTACACCTTGGTCTAGTATGAAATTTTCTCTTTTTCGGCGGAGTTTAACAGATGACATTTCATCGCCATCCACAGATAGATCAGAGTCCACGACATTATTGCAATCGCACTAGCGAACACACTACTACACCTGCACTGCGTTTCCGCTGTGGGTAACAGAGGCTCTACAAGGCAGTTTGGTGGCCATCTCGTGTGCGTCTATTGGTTGCTGGGAAGGTGTACTTGTAAGAATGTTGGGAGGTTGCCATGTTTTGATATTTCACCCTTGAAATAGCAGGATCAGGGATGCTTGGCACATAGACTAGAATATTCTAGACTACATAGTCTACACACGTATCCCTGGGTCCATGTTGATCCTTTGTTGGCAGCGCGTCGTTGCGGCATCAAGTTGTAGCACACGACGTACATGTAGGTATTTTCCTTATTTCTGATTGGCCGAAACTAAGGCAGCTAGAGATTGGGACGTTGGCCGTTGGCGCCGACAGCTGGACGCCGAGAACCAGTTGGCCCGCGTGGTTCAGTTTGGAACCTCTTCCGTAAACCAACCTTCCGAATTTGGAATTTGGGCATTTCGACATCACGACAACATGAAATCATCCAACTTTTATGGTTCTCTGCATGTGCTCTCCTCATAATACCTGTGTGGCTCTAGGCAGACGTGCACCTCCTTTCCCGAAGGACGTCGAGCTGGCAGCATCGTCGAGCATGATACGCTTGTAACGCTGGACAGCCTCGAGTTCCTCAATATCTAGGCTGTAGGACGGGGTGACCGCCCCGGCAGACATGGCTTGGTCCCATTGATGCAAGCCTTCATCCAAACTTGTTTCGTTGAGCTGGGAAGCAGACCGAGGCTCACGTTTGTTGAGGCCGTTGGGTGCGGAGCCAGCTTCTACCATTTTTGGATAGTGGTTCATGCAGATCGACTGTAGCGTGGTGTGTGAACATCTGGGAGAATCTTGCCGCACGAAGATCGGACCGTTACAGAACGCGGACAGCACACCTGAAAAGGGCAGGTGGGTGGCATCGCAAACGGCGCAGCCTCCCTCGACGCGATCTTCGTACAATCTTCGTATGCCCCGCAACTCTCCGCCGTTCTGCATTCAAACAGTTCGCATGTTAAAACACCTCGTCAGTAGTACATCACGTTCTCGACGCTGCTGCGAAGGGGTGGTATTCCGTCGCATAGGATGCAATTCATTGCAATGGCCGTACATTCCCTCCTTGTCCTACCACTGCCG